GCATTTTGTAGGCTGGTTTTCCTACAAAACACAACAAACATTAGCCCACAAAGCCACAGCGAACAAAGCAGCATAGCGCAACAAATTCAATTCAAATGAAGACTTATTTGTAACCAGCTAGCCAAACTTCAGTAACCCTACAAATGTCACTGCTGTGTAGTTTTCTGTCTTCATTTATGTTGGAAGTGATAGCAGAGCTGTATGTTTGAATTTGTTTCCAAAATCCCGCAGTCAGGACATGTTATATTGTGTTTAGATGGAAGCTAGCAAGCTAACTTCCTGCTAATTTCTAACTCCGTTAAATGTCAATTGTTACACCTGGTACATCAGAATGCTGATCAGTTTATTACAGATGAAAGACTTTAGACAGTTGTTCAACTCTCAGTAATGCCATAGTGATTGTTTGATATATGGACCTGCAGCTGAGTTTAAGCCCAGACATGGCTAGTGACGGCAGACTTAAAGACCAGATGTGTAACTTAATAATTCTCAGTTGTTTGCACTGTAAAGTCCGTGTTTACCAAAGGAATGGACAGAGTTGATTGGCTGAGTGAGATCACAAGGGATAGCTTTATTTGCATCCAATTGGTCCGTGCATTTCTTCAGCACCTGAACCACTACCACAAAAACCAGAAAAGTTGCAACAGTTGGAAGCACTCCTTCAGGTGTTAAATCATAACTTTCTGTTTTAGCTGTCCCATGTGGTCTGGGTCCACATGGGACAGCTTATGGCTCCATACCTGGACCACAGTCTGCTTGTTAGTGTCCTCTGGTCTAGACCATCTCTGAATCTAGGAGGGGGCTTAGGGGTACATTTTTCACCAACTTACAGTGCCGTAATTGCAGCCATTCCCCAACTTTATGTGAATGGTATTAATGGTACTAATGATCGTGTCTCATAACCCCCGCCTTCTGTTCATAACCCCCGCCTTCTGTTCAAGAATGGTCATTCTCTTATCCCTCATTCAGACCATCGGTCTTCTCAGTCCAAACTATGAACATTGGCATTCTACAAAGTGTGACCTTTGACCATTAGATGCAGACGTACATTTGAGTCTCGCCCTGTCGAGATGGCTTTTCTATGTTGTGCCATGCATTTATGGAATTGCTGTTTGGTTTTTCTCAATGTAGAGATCTGAGTACTTCTCAGTGCACTGCACAGCATACACTGTGTTTTTTTTAGCTTGTGTTTGGACGTTTTGTCCTTGGGATAAACTAGTCTGTTTTGTTTTGCTTAATGCGTCTTATTCCCGAAAAGTAGGATAGTTGTTTCTGGCGTTTCACCTTGAAGCTTCATAATTATTGTTGTCACTGAGCAGTGTAGTGTTTATTTGCTCTGCTTCTATTTTTCAGGGATAAATTACATATCTATACATTTTATGTCCCAGCTGAGTAACAAGTCTGGTGGAGAAGCAGAGGAACAATTTCAGCCATTTGGACTCAGCTCAGCCACTACAGAGGAAACAATGACTTCAACACAAAAGGTGAGAAAAATGATCACAGTTACACTGTTGCTGAA